GGGGGGGGGGGGGGGGGGGGGGGCGGTATTGTATGTAACAACTGTATAGATCAACTTACAATCTAGCTAAAACTGCATATGTCACAACAACTTTTGAAAGTGATTGTAGTTACAATATACTAATTTATCTAAATTAGTATAAAATACAATATTACATATAAAACTCGTAGCACTATATAGCCTAAGTATAGACCGATATTTATATTCATACACACGTAAATTGATCGTTACAAACTGTACATTCGAAAAAGGTTCTTAAAATTGGACAAGGGCACTGCGTTTTTAATTTTATTTGGAGGAGTGTTATAAAGCAATTAATGATCTCCTGCCAAGACTAAGATTTGGCTTAGGTAGATGCAAATCATTCTTCTTACTGGTATTATAAAAATGTTATAGTTCTTTGTAAAATGCTCACTTAAGTATTCTAGGACTAAATTGTTCAAGCATTTAAATATTAAAACACATTTGTGAATTTGCCTGCGGGTAGGCAAATTTACCCATTTTAGAACGTCAAACGTATTTCTTGAACTGTCTCGTTGCAATATTATTCGTGCCGCACGGTTTTGCGGTGTTTTGTAGGTTTTGAGACACTCCATCAGGTAACTCGGACCAAACGACATCAGTGCATTCAAAAATAGGTTCCACTATTGAATTGTACACACATTTTGATGGCTCTATTGTCAAACAAGTGCGTATACGAGAAAGTAGACCCAACCTTTTGCTAATTTTATTGCAGATTAATTCAGTGTGTTCCTTCCATGAAATCTGTTTATCAAGCATTACTCCTAGGTAACTGAACTTTGGTAGTCTTTCAAACAGTTTGCCTTGAAGTTGGATGCCAAAATCTTCAGTCAGATCAAAAACCATAAGTTTGGTTTAATACTGTGATTTAAAACAAGTCTGCTGGTATTCATCCATTTTGCAACAACTTAGGTCATTTTGAAGATTTACCATTATTTTATTGGTACCAGAACCGATAAGTTCAAGACATGTGTAATTTACCTATATGTTGTTGCATTGTAATTCTGTACCGTAAATCCATGAAAATTGTTTGCAATAGATCTTATGCATAATGACGTCACAAGGCTTAATGCCCGCGAGGAATGCTGGTCTTAGTAGTCATCACCCGGGAAAATTAAACAATTCAAAATGGCCACAATCGAAATTTTCCCAGGCGATGACTTCTAAGACCAGCATTCCTCGCGGGCATCAAGTCTTGTGACGTCATTATGCATAAGGTCTATTGCATATGATATGGTCATGCAGTGGCGTAAGCACGGGGCGAGGGTACTAACTCCGCCCAGTTATTTACATCATACTTTAAGCTGACGTGTGAGATAATATAATTTTCGGCCACATTTTAATGATGGTGCATCACATCACGCATGGTTGGCTAGCTGTCGGAAGGTAAACCATTAATCTGGAAATAAAACTGGTGCAGTGGTGTAAGATATTTTTTTGAACGTTACATAAAACGCGAAAGGCATCATGGGACAGAACACATGTAGTCGGACCGAACAGTGCGCGAATTTGGAAAGGAATAATAATATCAGTTGTTTTGTTAAATTTATATATTAAAGTAAGTACAAATGCTTCCAGCCAGTGTGAGAATAGAGTTAAACACAATATACACTAAAACTGGATTTAGTACCTGTTTTTCATCTTAATATTATTCCTAAAGCAAAGTACAGAAAAGTACAGTGCTTGCAGGAATGTAAGTGTTAACTATACAGAAATTAAGAGAGGCTAATTTTAGCCAAATACAATCATTGTAGGCATTGACAAATATACTGTATGCAAGGGAGCACAGCAGTATTATTTTCGAGACTTGCGTACCTGTATATGACTGTAAAATCTTTGAGTAGGTCTTCTTTGGTTTGCTAATTTGCATATAAACAGTAAAACGCTGTTTTCAAATACTTTTAAATACCATAACTACAGCCACAATTTTCGTAATATTATCCCACAAATATTTTCGTTCTTCGACGCGCCTTTGCAGGCTATTTGCATATGGTCGTCCGCTGCGTATAACATTTTGTAAATACGCGCGAAAATTTCAATAAATAATAGCGGGGAGTGAAACTGTGGGCACAGATGCTGTAGCAAATTGCTAGACACAGTAATTGTTGCCAGACACAGGTCACTTCTAGATATAATTATGGAATTATGCAATCCAAGCTTCAGTTCACATAATATTATATTAAGAGTTGAATGTTGATCCAAAGTGTGGTTGATTGTAGTATGCCATATATTTGTATCAAGTACATTACATTTTATCCCCGAGCCAACGGCGCTCCCGGGCGTAAGTCCGGGGCGAGGGTGCTAATTCCCCCCCGGATATTTACACCCGGGGAAAGGGAAGCATTAGGCAAGTGTAAAGTTCATCAATGATCGCGGGCGTTGGTCACCAACCGTGGGTGATCATCCTCACTGATCTCAAAAATATGGCTGTTTACCAGGAGTGGGATAAGCAAGATTTCAATTTTAAAAAGCAAATATTTGGAAAATCACGTTTCACACAATGAGCTTTGAAGTAATTGTTGTTTGAAGAAATGAGAAGAATTGATTTACTGTGGAAATTAAAGTTGGCTAAATTACCTCGTTTAATTTAAGAAAAGAAGGTAAAATGTAAAGGACAGCAAATTAATTCGAAAACCGAACCGAAATTACTCAACAATTTGAACTTATTTTGTTTTATAAAGTAAAAACAGTTCATCGAAAAAAGCCTTTAAAGCAGTTTTGTATAGTTTAATATTAAAATGAACATTTCAAAACATTTTACGAAGCGATTCAGGTTAAATTTTACATTAAATCAAAGCTCACAAAATCAAGAACAACATACCTACAGTACATATTTCGGAAATTCATTGTTATATAGTGGGGTCAAATTTCGTCATGATTTTGTTATATTTTGTGTTACTTTATAACATTAAAGCCATTTTTAACTATGCTTATTATAATGCAAAATTATCCAAGTAAAAACCAGCATACGATATAGTAAAACAGGAATATTTTTGTTTAATACAACTAATATACGTACAGAAAAATCACAACTAACAACGATTTTTTCTGTGGTGGTGTTGTGTACTCAGGTGAATATGCATGATGCTTGTGATGTTACTCTGTGTATATCCACACCGGACGAGCTTGAAATATTTAATTAATATAAATAATGACAAAATTCGTTTATTCATAGAATTAAAACCACTTTCGAATATGCTATGGGGCAATATTCTCGAAGTAGAAGCAGCATATATAAAACATTTAAAAAGGAATATCAGAGTTGAAAAGTTTACGAATTGGGCACAAATCAGTTTTTGGTAGGCTTTTACAGTCGCCTCTATCTGATGGTAAGCGTTTGGTTTTGCTACAAACCTTGGAGAAAGCAGTTTTCAAATGCCCAAATGCTATTGGTTAATTTTGATTACGTGCCCACAGTTTCAGTCCCCTCTATTATTTATTGTAATTTTCGAGCGTTTACAAACCGTTACATGCGATACAATATGTACAGCGGACGACCATGTGAAAAAAGCCTGCAAAGAAGGTGTGTCAAAGGGCGAAAATATTTGTAGGAAAATATTATGAAAGTTATGGCTGTGGTTATGGTACTGTAAAAGTATTTAAAAACAGTGTTTACTGTTTATATGCAAATTTGAAAACCAAAGAAGACAAAGACTACCTATTCACAGATTTTACAGCCATACAGGTACGCAAGTCTCCAGAAGAATACTGCTGTGCTCCTTTGCTGTATGTTGATAAAAGATACGGTTTTCTCTCTAGAAAGTTTTAATTAAGTGCAAATGATCGCTTTAAGATATAACACATCCTGCAGCGGTAGAAAGAGTTCAGAAAACGACAGAAGTGTCCAAGGTTCGTGAAATATTGTATACGAAAAATATTGCGTGCGGAATGCGTTAATCTGGGTTGCAGTCTTGCTGGGTGTTTAATTTAAACGATGAAGAAAAACTAAGAAAACGTTGCGTTCTGTGACTAGATATTACTCGCTGGGGCACCTGTGCCCGGGCGAGTATAGCTTTCGGCATCGTTGATAGCCACAAAATAGAATATTAATGAGCTGCCAAATAAAGCCCAATTTATCCTTTTCAAAATGGCGGCCTTTTGCGGAGTGGGTAAAATGTTTCAAACATTAATTTCGTTAAATTTTCAACGAAGTGTACTTGTATTCTATGGATTTTGCATTGTGTCTAATTCTGGACATTCTTGCTAGTTTAGTTAATGCATTTTTCTTGGTGCATGACTCTGAAAATCCTTTTTGGATCTTTGAATTCCCGTGCACAATCATAATATACTGAAACTGAATATAAACGAGTCAAAGACAATTTCAAGGTAAAAGGTTATAACTTAAACTACACAACGTAGTTTTAATTGATAACTACTTTATGGGAAGCATATTGGTGTCATATCAATATAAAATGTATGCAACAACAGTCCCTAATAGTTAGCTGTGGAAACGTGAAAACTGTAGTGTATTCGCCGCATCTTGTCACTGTATTGGAGGCCGTATATTCACCATAATATTCGCGTATATTCGCTTGTTTGTCTTAAATTAATTGACTTTTATAGCGCAGATTGAATTGCTAGAGACGCAAAAATTATATTTTAAAAATTCCTAATAATCGCATTATAAATAATCGATACATTTTATTATTTAGAGTGTAATTGCAAAACCAATGCGTGCTTTAACGTGAACTTTTGCTGCGACAGAAAGGCAGATGGTTTTCTTTATATATTAAATCGTGAGGCCATGTGGTGTAATTTGATAGTATACTTGTCAATTAGCATAATTTTGCGCACTTTTCTTTCCGGATCCGTCAGCCTTTAATAATTTTATTTGTCATTTACTTATACAACAATTCAAAAAAATCCTACCTATTTACAAAACTTTTGTGTTACACACTTAATAGGAGTCTTCTTACTAATTCAATAACTGTTACACAATAAAGATTTTTGCTGTCAATTGCACTAGAATTAGCATTTTAATAGTAGCACATACCAGTTTCGTGAGAAAATTTATTTATCTTGTACCATAAACTTCTGATTATGATTATGGGCTAGTATTTCGAATGGTGTGAACGTTAGTAATGTGACGGGGTCATAGACGTCGGGCTTATATTCGGGGACTTATAATCGGAAGTTTATGGAAAAAGATAAATAAAATTTTTCACGAAACTATTCTCCTATAGTTTAAAAATTAAAAGGATGTACTATTATTAAAATGCTAATTCTAGCTAGTGCAATTGACAGCAAAAATCTTTATTGTGTAACAGTTATTGAATTAATAAGAAGACACCTATTAAGTATGTAACACAAAAGTTTGTAAACAGTAGGATTTTTTGTAAACAGTTGCATAAGTAAATGACAAATAAAATTATAAAAGGCTGACGGATCCGGAAAGAAAAGTGCTCAAAATTATGCTAAATTGACAAGTACTATCAAATTATACCAGAACGATTTAATATATAAAGAAAACCATCTGCCTTTCTGTCGCAGCGAAAGTTCACGTTGACGCACGCATTGTTTTTGCCAGTACACTCCAAATATTAAAATGTATCGATTATTTATAATGCGATTATTAGGATTTTTTAATTTATAATCTAATAAATATTATCAATTTTTATACATTAACAGCTGTGTTGAGAATTGCCTCCCGTTGTTCCCAACACAAGTTAAAATTACAAACACTGTGTATTTCTATAGTTTTATTGACAAAAATCTCATGCTTCGCTGTGTTTTCCCGAATTCCTCCCTATGTAAACATTCTCAACGGTATATTCCGGAGCTGTCGACTGTCCGCGAGTATACTCGCATGTCCCGCGCGATAACAAAAAAGCTAAATATAGTTTCCGACACTCTCCCCCCATATAGCTTCTTGAAGGTATATGTACTGAAAGGAAACTTAATTAATCTCAATGTTACTAATGTAAGGTCTACTAAATGTTATATATTAGATATAAACTTTAACGTCTCAAAAGGATATACTCTGTTCAATTTCTTGTTCAAATTTCATCATAGTTCGCTTGCTCTTGGATGCGTAACCTTGCGGTGACCGCTGCCTCGCGGGTTGGTCGAAATACTGCAGCTTCTGGATTGAGGTTTTCACTACCGGTTGATGGTCTTATGTCACACGACAGTTCAAGTGGGTAGAGTAGATTGACTGCTCTCTCAAAATGACCGTTTCCCGTCTTTATTTTCGCTGCTCGAATGACCCCGTCTCTTCCTGGGTAAAGTTCCTGAACTATTCCGAGCGGCCACTTTCCTCTATTGCGCTCTTCAGAATAAATTATGACGACATCGCCCACAGCTAGGCTGAATGGCTTCGTATCATGTTTTAAATTATGTCGTTCTCGTAAGGCTCGTAGGTACTCTTTCGTCCACCTGTTCCACATGTGATCTTTACATTTCTTTAGGTATTTCGCGCGTTTACGTAGGTCAGGATCGGCTTCGTGGTAATGTTCGGGTTCCGGAAGGTGGGTCGATCCAACAAACTGCAAACTGTTCGGTGTCAATGTTGGCATTTGGATATCATCTTCTTGGTACCCTAGAGGTCTGTTGTTCAATGTTGTTTCAATGTCTAGAAGGACATCTTCGAGTTCTTTCTTGGCTAAGAAGCCATTCCCAATAGACTTGTACAACGCGGACTTGACCAAGCCGACCATACGTTCGAATTGGCCCCCCCACCAGGGGGCCCGACTTAGATTGAACTGCCATTTTATTTTTTCGTTGGCCAGGAAATGATTGAATTTTTCATCTTGTTGTGCCTTCTTCAACCACTTGGCTGCCGCAACGAAGGTCTTTGCGTTGTCGGAATAAATCTTTTCCGGTCTGCCTTTCCTCGCGATGAGTCGCTTGAGGGTAGGGATAAATTCATCGGTTTCCATGCTCGTGGTTAACTCTAGGTAGAGGGCTCGCGTTAGACTACATGCGTAGAGGGTTATATACGCCTTTCCTTCCGTCTTTTTAGTGATGCGGTACTTGATGGGGCCGGCGAAATCGACGCCTACGACCTGAAACGGACGATCACCTTCTGTTCGGTCTACGGGCAAGTTTCCTGGAGGTGGTTTACTAACTGGCTTAGCATGAAATCGTCGACACCCGTGGCATCCCTTTACGGTCTTCTTTACAAGTTGTCTTAGCCTTGGTACCCAAACGTTCTCTCTAATCTTGGCCATAGTGAGCCCGACTCCCCCGTGTAACGTGCGTTGATGCGCATCTTCTACGAGTTTAGTGGTGTAAAGATGACTGTCCGGTAAAAATACGGGGTATTGACCTTGCAACCGACCTTTGCACACGAGCATACCATCTTCATTCATTTGTACACCCAGGCGTTGCTTATCGTCGCTCACTTTGTCGTCTAGAATTGCTTGGGCTTGTTTTACATAAGCGCTGTGTTGGTCGTTTATCTCTTGCGTTGTCAACGGTCCCGACCGTGTCTCTTTCTTAGTTGCTTTCGCTCGACAATTATACACAAATCGAGAAATCCATGCGTTTACTCTTACAGCTTTGTTGAGGGAAAACTATGTCAAGATTTCATCAGGTGGGTTGGTTGGTTCTACATCTAACTTGAACACTGTTCTTGTCACTTTGGCTTCGGTTTCGCTTTCATGGGTTGCAGTCGTTACTATATCTCTTGGCCACCCGCTCTGATTAGTGAACCACGGAAGTCCTTTCCACCACAGTAGATTTCCAGTTACCTGTCCTCCCCGACTTCCCAGGTTGACTTGGGACATGACGCCAAATTATATCTGGGCAAGCTTGAATCTTTCTCACCCGATTGGCCACAAATTGTTTATATTCTCCTCCCCCTTTTAACCATTGCAGCGCTACCGTGCTGTCTAGCCATCCGTAGGTTCCCGTAACAGGCATTCCATCAAACGCTTGTTGAACATTTATCATCAGATTTGCTGCCATATGGGCGGAAACAAGTTCTAGGCGAGGTATGCTCAAGTCCTGTTTAGCTAATCTTGCTCTGGCAGCGACTAAACCCACGTTGGTTTTGTCACCTTGTTTCACAATTGCATAAAGGGCTGCACAAACTCCTTCCCCACTTGCATCCCCAAATGTGTGCAGCTCAATTTCTTCTACAGCTTCGCGCTGAGTTGTCAAGGCTCTCGGTACAGTTACACGTCTAGGCAGTTCCCTTACCCATCGACCATATTCTGCTGCTTGTGGTTCTGGAAGTGATGCATCACACGCTGTTTTTTCCTTGCAAGTTTCTCGGTAGATTGTCTTTCCCTTGAGTGTCACAGGTGCTACAAGGCCCAAGGGATCATAAATGCTTGCTAGATTGCTCAAAAGTTCTCTCTTAGTCACGTTCGGCTTCATCTCGGGGACCACAACACTGAACTCATCAGCTTCCTTGTTCGACTCCGGATCGGTTGGTGCACCAAGTTGCTGTTTGGCAAAGGTATACTCCGTCTCCACGCTGGACTGTTCGCTTTCCAACTCAGGATCATTTGAATGCCATTTGTGTAATGTGAACTTGGCATCTTGAAAAATCTTAATAGCTCCTTCCTTCAAATCCTTTGCTTCTGCTACGGTTGGCTTACCACTCAGTAGGTCGTCAACATAAAGGCTTCTACGGATTTCAGCGACCAGCTCTGGTTCACGTTCTTTCCACGATTCCAGATGACGTTCGACGACACCGCCGAGAAGGAACGGCGAACACACTAGACCAAATAGCGCTCGCGTGAATCTCA